AAAGGTGAAAAAGAAAAGAAGGGATAAGAGGTGGAAGAAGAAAAAGAAAACGAGGAGGACTTGGCAGAGGGTGGATGGAAGGAGGGAGAGAAGAAAGAGAGGTTCTCGCCATCGAAGGTAAGCGTAGAAAAGAAGCTGGCGAGATTCAAGAGAAGCGTGTGGCGCAGAGGGCACGAGAGGCGAAGAAGGGGCCAGCCGGAGCTCTCGGTCACCGGCACGACTGTAGGACGTAACCGCGGCCCAGCGGTGTTGCCGCTTCCTAGTAATTCCCCGGCTGCCGCTTTCGGGTCCGAGTCCGAGTCCAGGCTGTTGCTTCTCGACAGAGATCTCTCCACGATTCTCGTTTCTCAGTTCGGGGACCATCTGCTCGCCCTCAGGCCTTTGAATCTTTAATGGTTCGCGTGACTGGCCGCGGCAGCTACAGGAGACTGCTTCGGCATCATGCTTCGTTGTCGTTACTTGATTTTTCCTCTTTCTCTCTGAACGTAAGCCTCTGTTAAGCTTGCTCATACTTCGAACCGAACGAGTCTCGCGTACGCAATGGCTCACGATTCCGTCGTTTTAATCTGCTAGATTTAAGACGATCGAACATCGATGTTACGAGCATCGATAAAAGAAACGATCAGATGGAATATTACCGACAAAGATACTCGAGACGTTTATAGCATGTTAGAAATGACACAGAGTTTAATCGCGCGCTTTTAATCGATAGGTCAAAAGTTAGAAAGGCCGCGAGGCTGACGCGGGCCACCAGGATTCACTCGAATCGAGGCGCAATTATCGTGGCCGCAATTATTTCGACGATTTTGCCGGGCTTATCCCGCTGACCGTTTCTCTCGGTGTCGCGGGATGGAAGGTTCGTTAACGGGCCGCGAACGAGAATCGTTACCGTTTAATTAAGCGCATTTCCAACGCGTTCTGCGCGCAAACTTTGTCCTGGTCGTCTGCCAATAGTGCTTGCTCGATTTTTCCGAGTACCGATCGTCGAGCGACCAACGTTTCCCCTTGATTGAGTTAGCCACCTTCCATCCGAGTCCGAGACCTGCTTCCTTCGAGACCCGTCTTTCGTCCTCGAGACCCGTCTTCGATTTCATTTCGTGCACTTTTTCACCCTCCACGCGCCTTCCTATCGTCCGCGTTCTGTCCTTCTCTCACGGTTTCTAAATCAATGTGAACGTGAACGAAGAGTTGGGAAACTACGTCGATTTTCACGCGAGTCTACGCGTGTCTTTAGTCAAATGCATTTTTCGTCTACCAGAACGATGAGAAAATTTATTTCTAGAAAAATAGAGAATTCCCGGAGTTGAAACGGCAGCTGGCCGAAAGTAGGAGGCAGGTAACGGATGGAGCGGAAGGGCGCGATCGTCGAGAAACGGACACCTGCTGCACTGTGTCCTTCGACCGTCGAAAAACCATCGGTCGCGAGCAAAAGATCGAGAGAGGCTTTCTCTCGATCAAACATACCCTCTCGCTAAAATTCTTCTAAAATGGAGCCGCGAAACTGATCCGTAGATAGCACGTTTATCTTCATTAAATTCTTTGATCGTTGTTCTTGGTGGTTCTTTCAGAAGAGGAAAACATTGCACGGGGGTCGATAACAAGTTTGCCGATGAAGAAGCTCAACGACAGACGACCGCGCGAAAGTTTGGTAGTCCCATGGGCCTAGCCCACGGCGGTAAGAACCACCTGCCGCATAGGTCGGTGGGGGCAAGCTATTCTCGTGCGTTTTACCTTCTCTAACCACTATCTTTTCTCTCCCCCTCAACGGTTTTACCCTCTTTTACCTCGTCTTCATCATACCATGCCCTGCACGTTTTCTTTCTTTCTTTTCTCCCTGCCCTTCTCTCTCTCTTTCTCTCTTTCTTATCTTCTTTCTTTCTTTCCTCGACGCTGCTACTTTTCTCCGTCCTTGTCAAACGCGTTCGTTCATCGTTCGTCTTCCGTCCAGTCGCTGCCACCTTCGCTACCATCGCCAGCATCATCGTCACCACTACCATTACCAACATTGCCACCGCGCCGACACCATTGTCGTATACGTGCATACATATACGTATGAAAGAACGACGGCCGTACATCGTAGCTCGTAGCCGACCGGTTGTACGTTGCGCGCTGCGCTACGCGCGCACCAAACTGTAGTGGGAGACACGGCGTACGGGGAGAAGCCGACCGGTGGGGGGTAGCGCTGATGGTACGCGACCCCAAGCTCAGTCGTCGCGCGACCCTCGTTCAGTGTGTTTGCGTTAACGTTCATCGCTATTGGAATTTTTTAATGTCCTTTTGGATACATTACCAGTGTAGTGCTCTTACTCCAAACAGAATATCATAACTTCCAAGACTGAACAATATTTCTTTCCTTTACGTTGTACAAGTTCTACATTCTCTTCGTCATAAACTTTCCCTATCTTGACATATTTTTCGATTTATTTTCGTCCGGTTTCCCTCCTTTTCTCGCTCGTCCCTCGCTATTTTTGCATCGACCGACCGTCTCGCGAAAACGACCAGGAAAAGTGTGAAGTTTCACGAGCAGGAGAACAAAGTATACATACGGTGTATCGAGTATAGATATCCCAGATTGGAGATATACTGAAACGATACCGAAGGTAGTGCGCGAGAACCTGTATATAATACCTGCGAGTCTCACCGGCGGAACAAAGGAGTGCCTTAGACCGAACGGTTGCAACGTGGCGTTTTGAAATCGCGCGCAAACCTTCCTATTTCGTCTGTTTCGCGAACAGACGGATGCTCGCGATGGGAATCACCGTGCGAGCCTCGCCGTTCTTGGCGAAACTGCCGCAACGATCGTGTCACTGTTGAGAAATCGCCTCGACTAAGAAACCACCGTGCATCCAAGCGTCGGAGATACGAAAAAGATGGGATACTGTCTTGAATCAGTGGATCGTGAAACAATTCGCATGGGTCTACTATCCAGGTTGTCGTAGCTCGTTTGGCAACATCAATCGCACACGAAGAAGTCGCGATCGTCTGGGAAGAATCGCGACCGATGAAGCTTGTTGTCGTTTCTGTTTTACCGATTTCGACGAAGGGTGAGAGAAACAGTGGGAAAAGGCAGTGCAAGAGTGAAACGAGTGATCGAATAGAACGAATATCGAGTTATGCGTGCGGTGAGTTGTTTAGTGATTTGACCAGCGCGATCGAGGAGATCGATACGATCATCGATGCCGCGTGCTGGCAAAACCCGCGCACTGTTGTCGATTCTGGGTGAAAGTCGCTGCAACACGGAACTCTGTCCTGCAGATCGCATGGAGCCACTCAATTTGTGTCTCTCGTCGTTCCGTTCCGTTCGCCCCATTCGTGGAATTCATTTTACCCAAAGAATGGATAGGATCCGAGTGCCGAGCACCGCGACGATTATCGCCGTTACCTTGCTGCTTCTGCATCCCGGTGAGTATATTCCTCGGAGACAAAAAGTTCATAGTTCGGAAAGTTCGTCGAATTTAATTTCTCTTCGTTGAAGAAAAAAACAGAAAAGAAAGGCCGTATTCAATGTGTCATCGTGGATGACGAAACAATTTTTTGTTCGACGAAGAAGAAAACGCTTGGAATAAGAACTCTTGCATGGCGTCGCGACTCTCGCGACGTACAGTGTCGGTATGCCGTAGTTTGCAACGAGTTTCGTTGCGCGTCCTTTTAAAAACCCGTTCTGGGCCGCGCTCGAGGCCGAGAAGGCCTCCTTTCGCCTCCTCCGACCAATGAAAACTTTGCGCGCGATTTTAATCCTCTCGTTCAAGCATAAATCCAAGTACGCTAATGCTCAGTCGATAATTGGTCATGGATTAAGCTATTCTATTTTCTTTTTTTTTTCTTTTTTACAGAATTTCAAACATCGATACATAGAGTAATAAATAGCGAAAACTTGCCCCAAAATAACAGACAAGACAAATTTTAATTAGTTAATACGGCATTGTTTTACATAATTTTTAACATTATGTTCTAATGTCGCGTCGAAAAGTAAGATGTTAGCGAATAGTTGCGCTTATATATACAAACATAGGATTATGTTGATGAATAGTTGCGAATAAAAGTAGTATTGCGTCTAACATGTATCTAACGAAGAATACGATGTGTTGAATCTTTCCACGAATAGATCTGTGTACTTCTTCGTATTTCACACGGTAAAGGCAAATTTGAAGAAGTTGCGTGGATAGTGGACTCGTGGTAAATTCGTTGAGTATGCAGAATGCGACTCGCTTAGGCAGCTTTCCCGCTGGAGAAATACCGAGCGATGATATTAGGCTTCGTGACGTAGCCGAGCTGCCGCCACAGGTGTCTCCATGTATACGAGCGGCGCGTTAACGCCACTGTTCGCCTCGCAGCTGCTCCTTCACCGTGCAGTATAATATACCTACATATGTCTGGTAACCGTTGACATGCCGATAGCAATTCGTTACGATTCATTCGACCACGGTATTTCCATCGATTTTTCGATGATACGCCGAATATATACGCTCGAGTACGTTCCACGCGTGCTCGTAAAGATATGAAAACATGTATGTATACGTATAGCCAGTGTCCCGATAGGAGAAGTCGAACGTCTAGTCGATGGCACGCGAGCAAGAAAACCGTGCTATCGAAAAGTAAACAAGCCAGGGCGAGAAACGCGGAGAGGGTTGGTAGGGAAAACGTAACTACGATGGGTCGATGAATAGCTAAGATGGGGAATAGAGGCAACAAAGAGGGATAGAACGGCGTGGATGGATCTATAGAGAGACAAGCAGACATAAATATAGACTCTTGCATAGGTAGAGAAAAGATGGATTGAACGGCGAGAGGGAACTGGACGGGACACGTAAAGGTGAGGGAGGAATTGTTGAAAAGAGACGCAAGATGGCACGGTTAAAGTGAGTAAAGAAGAAAGGAGGACGATTCTTCATTCCCCTGAAACGAACGAAGGAACGAAAGAGCTAGGTTGGTTGGGTTAAAGTTGTAAACGAGGAGAAAGGAAGGACGAAGAAAGAGAAGTCCCGCGATATCAGCGAGAAGTCAAACCGGTGACTTTACCGTTACACGACCCAATGATGAGACATCGACGGATCGTTTGGCCGTCGCGACGTCTATCATTTCCCAGTATGTAAACGTTATATACATACATACATATATATATATATATATAGACATAAGCTAAAATTGCAGGACGACTGCCGCGTATGCTTTGGCCAACCAAAATCGAATCATATAAATCGTGCAACGTGGAATATTAGCCGGTAAGAGCGCGCGACCGTCATATACGAAAAGAAACGGCTGCGAAAATATGCATATAACGCGATGAGAAAGAAAACGAACGTCTAGCGATGAGATGAAATATAGGAGCACAAGTTCTAACGATATGGTTGATTTCGATGTGTTTCAGCAGCGGCACAGGGTCGCGTCGAGGAGACGCAGATGGATACGCACGAGGGGTCGACGGTACAGCTGCAGTGCCGCTTCTCCCCGCCAAGGGAAAACGTAACGTGTTTCTGGTTGACGCACACCAACGACAATCACGATAACGCGGCGATCGACAATCTTGCGTTATCACCTCAGTATAAAGTGTTCATGAACCTGGAGGAAGGTCGATACGATCTTCAGATACGAAACGTCTCGTACGAGAGAGACAACGGCAAGTACGAGTGCCGTGTGAAAGCGAGCGGCACGGGGCACGACCTGCATCGGAAGTTCATCACTCTGACCGTGCTCAGGGCGCCGGGGCCACCAACCATTTCACCGACCTCCGCGTCCGCAACCGAGGGCCAAAAACTTGAATTACAGTGCAATACAAACGGTGGCAGCCCCGAGCCAGAAGTCAGATGGTACCGAGGCAACGAAACCTCTGTTCTTCATTCTGGTAGGACGTTGTCGGTCGAACCGAAAAAAGAGGATGACAGAGCGACTTTTCGTTGCGTGGTGAGGAACCGAGCTATGCGCGATGGTGAAACGTTGAACGCTACGATAACTCTCGACGTCAACTACTTTCCCCGGGTCACCGTGGGCCCGGAAAATCCCCTGAAGGTCGAGGTAAATGGAACCGCGAATCTCGAGTGCCGCGTCGACTCCAAACCAGCTGTTGGGATGGTACGATGGTGGCGAGACGGAAGTTTTGTAGCCACTAGCTTTCAGCATACCATGCGAAAGGTCACCATTCAAGATGCCGGCAAATACACCTGTCAGGCGGACAACGGATTGGGGAAAAGAGGCGAGAGTTCCCTCCTGCTGGACGTTCTTTATCCACCGACCGTCTCGATAGAGGGCGATTCTCTCAGAATCGCCGAGGTCGAGGACACGGTGACCGTGCACTGTAACGTGACAGCAAATCCTCCGCCAACGGTGATCGAGTGGTTGCGTGACGGTCGACCGGATTTTCGACAACTTGGCTCGATCCTTCGACTGAGTCGCGTCACAGCCGATTACGCTGGAAATTATACTTGTCGCGCGGTGAACACCATCTATCCTTCTGGCGGCGATAGGCGAAACTACTCTACCACTGCTCGATTGACCGTTCGAGTCAGGCACAAACCGGGACCAGCAAGAGTCACGCCGGACTCTCCAGTCGCTGTCGAAGGATCCAGAGTTATTCTCACCTGTATGGCCAGTCCGGCTGGCTATCCAGAACCCAGGTACAAATGGTGGAAAGAGGGAGAGTCTGGAACGATATCGATAACCTCGGAGAACACCGGTCCGAGATATGAGATCGATTCGGTTCATTTGGGTAGCGAAGGAACGTACAAGTGCCATGCCACCAACGAGATCGGCAACGGAGAGGCCGCGTCCGTTAATCTGACTGTGCACCAACCGCCCAAAATACTAACTAAGTTACAGCCACACGTTACCAGGAAGTGAGTATCCGGTTTCCTTGGAATTTTCTTCTTGTTCTTGTTCTCGTTCCCGTTCCCGTTCCCTTTCTCGTTTTTGTTCGACCGTTTTGTATTCGAGGCTATCAAGAAGACGGACAAAAGTTCATATGCTATCAGCCAGCCATTCGCCACGTTATACGCGGCTTGAAAATTGGGTCGGTCTACTTTAAGCTGGGATTAAGAGTTTACGGTTTAAAAGTCGCGAAGAAGTTGGGAACATCTTAGAATACTGACGGCTATATTAATTCACAAATAATCTAGAAATCGTTACCCGCGGCCAGAGCGGAAAATTTCGTGAAAAGGTGGGAGCGAGAAAGAAACGCGAAATCGGCTATTCCCTTTTTTCCTTGGCAAAAAATTCATCTTCGTATATCTCGTGACGGGATCGCAATTATACGAGATATAACGAATAATAAAGAGTGGTCGACCAGAAACAGAATACTTAATTACCTTCTTTGCCGCTAAAAATACACAGGAATTACCTTCTCTCGGCCATCACGCGAGATCATTCAACCCATCCCCCCAGCATTTTCTTGTATTTTTAACGACAAAGAGGACAATTAAATGTTCTGTGATCGTATCCATGTATTTACATTACTTCTGATATAACGATTAAGATACGTATGAACGACAAAAAATTGTGAAAAGAATGTCCGGTCATATCGTTTTGAAGATCTATTAAAAATTCTCCCATTTGATGAACGTTACTTGCAAATCCACAATTTTTCAACGAAAAATGCAAATTGGGAAATGTGTGGTTCACAGGGTCGGCGAGTCATCGTTTCAAGTGTCTTGCGTGGCGCAGGGCAAACCTCGACCGAGTGTTCGATGGTTGAAGGACGATCAAGAGTTAACTGCGGACGAGAGACTCTACAAGGTGACTACCACAGCATCGGAGGGTCACGGGAACGTGATCACCGTGAATTCGACGCTGAGCTTCCTGGGCCATGCCCGACCACAGACAGACGAGATCGTGGCCAGCGATCGAGGCAAATACACCTGCGTGTTCGTGAATGAGGTCAAGAAGGTCGAGTCGACGATGATGTTGAAGGTGGAGCACGAGCCTATCGCCCTGCACCAGCATGGGAAAGTCGCGTATAATTTGAGGGAGACGGCCGAGGTGGCGTGCAAAGTGCAAGCATGGCCAAAACCCGAATTTCAATGGAGTTTCGGCACCAATACGGCCAGTTTGCAAGGATCTTCGAGTGACGGCCACTACGAAATTTCCACAAGCAGCGACAACTACGACGTATACACGTCTGTACTCAAGATAACTAACATTCGAGAGTTGGATTACGGAGATTACAGTTGTAGAGCGGCAAACGCTCAAGGTAGCATTACTTCGACCATCAGACTGCAACCAAAAGGCGCGCCAGAAAGGCCCATCAATATCTCGGCAATGGACGTTGGTCCGACACACGTAGCCTTGCTCTGGGAGCTCGGTTTTGACGGGGGACTACCCATCACCAAGTACTTCGTCTCCTACCGTAGAGTACCAGGTGGTGACGAAATTGTAGCACCAGATTGTGCCGTTCCTAGACCACCGGCTGGTCAGTGGCTCGAATTGGATTGTCGTCGGTCTAATCCATGTAATGTAACTAATCTGGAGCAACATCAGACGTACACGTTCAAGGTCAAAGTGTATAACACGAAAAATCACTCTGATTATTCGGACGAGGTAACTGCAACGACCGCTGTCGCAAAAATTCCATCGCCGTTGAGGATTAGCTACGATCCAGAGAGTGGAATGCTTGCCATCAGTGTCGGTGCCACTTGCCTTTCGTTGGTCGCGTCGATCGAGAAGTATGATGGGCCGTCTTCTTCCACGGATGAATCGCAGTGGAGGATTCTAGACGAGTGGCCTCTCGAGGTACTTGGAAGTGCCCCGACTCAGAGGGAAGGAGTTTTGGATGACCTGGACGCTCTCGATACCACCGAACCTAGGCTCAGGGTTAGACTTTGCTTGAAGGCGGATCGACAAAAATGTGGCGAATACGCGGAGGCTGAAAGTAATTATTTGCATTTCTCTTTCTATCGATTGAAACTTTCTTATCGTAGTCGAACGATCACTTAGAGACGATATTTCGTCTGTTACAGTCGGTCCTTCGTATATCGCTCAAGCTGGAGCGCTTGCAACGCCAACCTTGATCGCCTTGGTGGTTAGCGGCGCCGTGTTCTTACTGTTCGCCGCGCTGTTGTTGCTCTTTTGTCGGTGTCGACGAAAGCACGTCACCAAGGCCAAGGACTACGAAATGGATTCGAACGCGTAAGTGTTTGAATCGGTTCAAACGGTTCGAAGAGAGTTCTATCTGCACGGTCCTCGAATGGGATTTCGATGTTGTTTACTTGTACAGGGTTCGACCGAGCCTCGTCGCCGGAAACGGACAACAGAGCCAGGCACCGCCACCCTACTACGCGGAGAACAAAGCCCTCGAACACAGTTTGGATCACGCGTTAGCTATGGAGGATTCCAAGACCCCGGCATACTCGCAACCCGGCTACGGATATCATCAACCAAACCACAACATCAATGGTAAAGACTTGTTTCTTTCGAAGACGTTCACAGTGTCGTCGGTAATAATTCTGAAAGAACTGGAGAAAATTAGTCGAGGTGGACAAGTCGTATCTCGCAGGTGGAAAAAATACGGTATAAAGTAGAGCGGTTTAACGAGGTCTAACTTCCTATGGCCGTACTTTTTCTACAACTATAACGATTATTCCTATTGCGATGTTGCGAATTGCAATTTAGCGTTCCTTTCTTGCATGTTACTTACTTCTCATATAAGGATTAAAAATAACTCACCTGACTAAGAATTATCATAGTGTAAAAACAAAACTCGTTTTTTTCTTTTCAAGCCTTTCGTATCTTATGCTTCTTCAACTTGTATTTAAAATCGAACGCGCCATCTCTTCTAAACTTGAAAATGTTATTGGTATTCGAACATTTAGTCAACAATTATCCTCCTGAGTCGTAAACAAGACAAATTTTAATTCCTGATTCCGCTAATAAATGCTAATCGATGCACTTTTGTTGACGACAGGCGTCAACATGGGCTACATGGACAACAGTTACTCGAACTCAAATAACGGTGGCTCGGTGAACTCGCAAGACTCCATCTGGCAGATGAAATCGGCGGCCGCGAACGGTGTTGGCCAGCCTTACGATCTGGCCGGCTACGCAACCACCGAGTCGGATTACCCAACCCACCCTCATTACCTTCCACAGAGGGAGGATTACCGGGAGAGCCATAATCTAAGTCGACAGCAGTTTTGCTCGGAACCATTCGCCACCGTCGTAAAGTCTCAAAAACACGTCGGTGAGTACTATTCTTTAGTTTAGTCGAACTCTCCGGTTTCCGCTGCCTTATCCTTCCACCCCGTTTCACCTCCCCTATCACCGCTTCCTCGACCCTTTCTCCTCCTCTCGCTTCGTTTCATCCCCGTTTCATCTACCCTTAGCCGACGTTCCACGATCGACCCACCACCCAGCCAACGATGAGCATTCAATTCTATCTGTCGCAAGTTCTCGAGCAATTTAGTTATACGGAAAGTTGGAATCGCCCTCCGAACGTTATTCGAATCGAAAAATGTTTCAAGGTGTTTTCGACAGTCGTGACAGGCTTAATAGCCGATCGTACGAACTTAGCGAAGTTGCCGAAGCGGTTCGCCAGTCTCGCCAGTTTCCGGATATTAGAATTCTGACCCGTTGTCGATCGCCGATTTTATTTCTCTTTCGTTAAGGAATTGTCTTACGTGTTAGCGTGTTGCTTATACGGCCACGTATCGAATATAAAAGAACGGTTTTCAACTGCCGTGAAAACAGTAAGATGGTCCAGAGTTTCTAAGATACATGCCGCGAATTCTAACACGGACAGAACGATCACAATTTTTTCAATGAAGACGTTCTCGAATTATCTTTGAACATCGGAACGATTTCATCTCGGCCATAACTAGAATTCAAGACGTTTGCAATTCCCTAGAGCTTCTTTTATCGCCGTAGAACGTTCAGGACGATGCTCGAGGCTTTCGCTATCCACCGCAGCATCCTCACTCTTCATATCCCTCTCTCGTTCTCCGGGCACGTACATCGCCGCCACGGCCGCGTTCTTTTGTTTTCCCATTCTGAACAACCGAACTTGTCGATTGTTTGTCCGACAGATTCACCGTACGACGTGTCCGGTCTACCATATCAGGAGAACTACGACGAGGATGCGAAGCCACCTCAGCAGGTCAGCCTGTCGTACGATGAGAGCCTCGAATCAGGTTACTCAACCCCGAACAGCCGAGGACGGCGAATCATTCGTGAGATAATTGTTTGAGATCTGCCTACCGGCTCGCGAGCCGGAAGCACCACTCGCACCACGTGGCTATAGCAGGAGGCAGTTCCCACCGGTGGTGCCACGTATCATCCGGTGGATCATTCGCGCGATCCTCTCCGCCATAGAATGGAGATAGTGATCGAGAACCCCGTGGAATCACCACCACCGCCGCCTCCTCCGCCACCACCCCCATTACAGCCGTTGACGATGTCTCCGTGGAACGCCATCGTCACGGCTTCACCGACTACCTTCTCCTCGTCCAACGTTGTCGCGTGCACTTCAATGCCAGTTACTACAACCGTGATGACGATAACCATCGCCGAAAATCCCACCGCAACTCCCAGCTATCCCGTACCTCCTGTACGATTTTCTTATCGAGAAACGTACACTGCGGCCAATTCGCTACCATACGCCGGCGATCCGTACTTCGCCATGCGACGTAATCAGCCATCTCGCGGAAGATCGTACAATGATCCAGACGGAGCATCACCGACGGTTCGACGCATCGACAAGTCTGGACTGTTAGGTATCACCGAATCGGACGCGTCTTCCTTAAGAACCGGCTTGAGGTCGCCAAGATTTCTGTCTGGAATGAACACCGTCGCTTCTGGGATGCTATCGCCTCGAAGATTCGAGTGTACCGGACAACTGGATCCAGTACCAGAGATTCCAGGGCAAACCAGCCGGGCGAACGTAACACCGGGTGCCGCGAATACATTCCCCGTCGCGTCCACTGCCAACCTGCCTTTAATCAGTATAACGTCGCCGATGATCGGACAAGAAAGGAGAGACGCAACATCTCGACTCGATTCCTGCGAAACGCTGTCCGTCGCTAACCTGGCAAAGCCAATGAAGTCAACTTCCTTCGATTCGCTTGAATCTCGCCACAAAATTAACCGTTCGGACGCGAGAAGCACGTTAAAAGCATTCAATCGCGATCTGGAGGGAATCGAATCGTCGAATTCGCATGTCTCGAGGTACGTTTCATCGTTTCAGTTACAAGAAAATTGCGAAGCTAGAGCACGTACTTTAGGACGTTTATCGAAGTTCGCCCTAGCTAGAAACGATCGCGACGGTACCGCCACGGTCGAGAGTCCCGATAGATATTCGGAGACCTGTTGCAATTTTCCCTTCACCGTTCGGGCGGTGACAGCATTTTCGGGTTTCGAGGGAACGTCGAGTCTCCCAACGACTAGAGTCACCACGACTACCGTGACAACGTCGACGACTACGGTCGCAGTGTCTGTAATGGGAAACACAGACACGAACGGCAAACAAGAAAACATTGAGGAGTGCAATAATCGAGCGCCGGAAGAGATAAGAGCGGAAGCGGAAGGCTGCGAGCACGGTCCATCAAGGGACCCGCTAATAGATGGAGAATCCTCGCAGAAGACCGACGAATTGGTGGACAACGATGGGATTCAAACGTTACGAGTGATCATTTTATCGGAACAATTGTGAAACTTAAAGAGGGCAGCTGATCGTTTAAACGGAGGCAAATGAAAATTCGTTTTTCGCCGACCGATGTATCGTTCGATGTGTATTATATTTAAGTAGTATGTAAGTACAAGCCGCGACAAAGACAGATGATTGAGTTTTGAGAGAGAGAGAGAGAGAGAGAGAATGAGTGATTAGAGAGAGAGAGAGAGAGAGAGAGAAGAATCTCGCATAAAGGCTGACGCGATGCCATAAGAGGCCATAAACCTTTTCGAGAAGCAACAGTAAAGAAAAAAACTCGTCATAAGAACGTGGAACGTCGAGGCCCGAACGTATCTCGCGGTTTTTAACCCTTTTCACTCGGAAACTATTTTCATATTTCTTTGCAACAACTCGATACAAACAGAATTTGCTAAATGAAATTCAGGATCATTTGTTTATTATGATTAAGAACCATTAGATTTCACCTTTCTTAAATATGTACATTTACATTCGATAATATGGTGTCGTTCAAAAAATTATTATTTGATATATTGTAATCAAAATCATCACTGTTTGATACGTTATAAAAATATATACATGTTATCTTCGAAATAATTATATGTAATCAGAACGTACAATTGTCAGTTAAAAACCAGCTAGTATTGCGAGTTATTGCAACGAAAGGGTGCAAAGGGTTAATGGAAAATGTCAACACGTTCGAGTTGCGACGCGTTTACGCATTTTGTACTTTTATATCGTGGACGATGCCGTCAATACAAGTGACGATCCCCGCGGTTCCCGCGATCGGGGATGATGTTTTCTGTAAATGTACCTATGTAACAATTCGACTGCGCCGTAACGCGCTTAGTAACTTAAGCAATATGTCTAACATTCGAAGCGACTCGTTGGTGATACACGCGCGTTTTCAAAATCGAGAATTGATTGCGTTTTGGTCGATGAAGAAAAACGCACGCGCCTGGTGAGTTGAAACTTTCGAGCGCTCGTCTGTTGTAAATAACGATAAACGTATCTCAGTACTTAACGAAGTGAGACACGGTGGTAGTCAGGGCCCGAGAGATTCCAAAGAATTCCGAGAGCCTCGTTCCCCTTTCGTTTGTGTATTCTCTACAAATGAGAACGAGGGGAGAAAGACGATTAATCGAAGAGAAAGTGGAATATGCTCGGATGCTCAGTTATACGTTCTCGTGTCTCGCGTTAAAACACACCGCAGATGGTGTACGCGGTTTCAACCCGAACTAACGATAGCAGCTACGCTTTTAACGTTGAAAGAATATTTCTTGGCTCGCGCATCTACCGTGCGTCCCTTTAGTTTCCTAGTATTAACGCGGCGCGTTTAGAAATCTCACATACGTAGCGACCTTCGTTGAAGTTGTTATTTTTCTACCGCTCTTGCGAACACCGCCTACGTTCGCTGAAAAATCGTGTTTCAATTCGTGTTCTAGTACTCGTGTCAAATATACGCGCGCTATTAGGGAGACTGCAGAGATATAGAAATAGAAGAAGGATGGAAAATAGAGAGGAAAGAAAAAGGACCAGCTGGATTATACGCGTTCGTTCCTTTCGACTTGTGATCTCATTTCTTCGCCGAGATACGAAGATGATTTCTTTCTTATCGTTTGGGAGAACGGGCGAGCTTTTTTATCGACCATGGGACGATGTTTCCTTCATTTGTTATTAATACGACTTTTTCACACATTTTGATCCGATATTCCATATGTGGCAATGTTTCATTTTCTAAATCATATATTTTAGCGATATATATATCGCGACAATTTGCAAACAAACAAAAAAATATATCTTATAGTATAGTAGAATCTCGACCGTTGCTCGAAACTTGGACCACTACATCGTCTCCGGAAGCGATGGAAAATCACCGTTCTTCCGCTTCATGATACACCGATCAACCGACCGACCAAATATTTTATTGCTTCCGAAAATGGAAGTACATCGCAATAAGACACGCGCTCGACACGAAATTTTCGTGTCATCAAACAGGTCTCTGCCGTACCGAATGTCGGTTGAAGTGATTGTTACGCGTGCGATCGCATGGTTGCGTGCGCACCACAGATGCACACGATGTGTGCAAATTTGAAATTGATATATATCGATCGACACATATACATATATATCAATTATCGTCCATTATAGTTACGATATTATTACGAATTATTATTTGTACAAATTTTATGTTGCGATATAAAATAAACGATAAAACGACAAACTTTTAACAATTATTAAATATCCGTCAGCTTCAATCAAACTATCACCTCGAAGCAAATAACTGATCTAACAGCAAAGACTTGTATAGTGTATAAAGTTACCCCAATTGCCACGAACATATCGATAATCCTTCGAGAACACGCCACGTCTCACGTCTCTTATCCTGACTTCACGAGCTTGCGCGTTTTGTACTAGCATGCAAAGCAGTACCACTGTTTATGCCGGATTAAGGCTGTCGCCTTAATACTGCACCAGACCAACATCTCCGCGTTGATGCTGTTTGCCATGTACCATTGACTAAGGACAAGGATCATTGACTAGAATAAACCGGACATCCAATGCTTTTTCATATCTCACATTTTGGGAGGCTTCCGAGTCTCATTATTTTCGTATCACATCTTGCTGTGTCGACTTAGGCAAGTATTACACTTGTTATTGATGATAAAAATTAATAAAAAAATATGGGCAGTATTGTATTATTCCCGCATTGAAAATTATTTATTTTTTTAATTGAATCTGGTGACACTTTATTGTAGACATATATATATATATATATATATATATGTATGTATGTATGTATGTATGTATATGTATATGTATATGTATATGTATATGTACATTTATTTATTTACTATGTACATATATATACATAATAAATGAATGTGAATTTAGTAATAGTGCATTGTTTAAGAAACTCTATCATAGTATAGTGTGATCTTTCATAGATATATATTATTTTCTAATGAATCTTTACGATCTTTTTTTCTACGATATCTCGTACTATTCTGAATAAAACACTTTTATCATAATGGGGAAAAAGTTAATATTAGAGATATTTCAAATTTTATACAGAATATGGCATTTAAATTTCAAATAATAATTTTACGGAATGTAAAAATATTTGTTTTCATGAAGAAAATATTTTTGTAACATTTCAAGATTTTTAAAATGAAACTCTTATTATATTTTTAACTCATGGACTTTATAATTCATGAAGCACAAAAATTAAAAGTTCAATCATCTCAATAATCATTTCATCATTTAATCATTTAATCTAGAGAAACTTTTTTTCAGAACGGAACAATTATTAAGATGGTTAAATTTCATGTTAAAACGATAGAGATATCTATTACAGTCAGGCGTACAGAATAGTCGGGCTAAAATAATCTGACATTTACTGTACGAGAGTTAATATAAAATATGTATAAAGTTATAAATAATTTTATCAAGATTTAATAATATATTTTGGCATACTCTATTTGAAATTTTATACGAATTCAAAATATATTGTTCATTCCCATTTTTATCCGCTTGCTTTTTTTCGATTATCTTCGTTATCGTGCGCAAAATAAAAACCGAATTAAAGTAAATATAAGTTTAAGATTTCCTGTCGAAATCATAATTGCCAAAATGTATCCCAAGAGTTTAACATAATTGTCACATTTTTATCATTGTTCTGTCCATCAAGATAAGACGATGAAATGATTAAACTAATGAAATATAGGCAGATTGCTTATTATCTCGGATATTTGTTCGAGTTCAATTAGAATTATCCTATCCGATCCGACTCCAAAGTATTGGATACTCGTTTACTTGAATAATTTGAGTAAATTTATTTAAAATAATAAAGAATAATTAAAAATATAAATTTTATCATGCAATAAGGAACAAAATTGTATACAAAAAAAGCAAAAATATATAGTATTTTTGGAATTTAGGCTTTCTAAACAAAACTTTATGATTGTGTTACTATCAGTGTTCTATCAGCAAATACAAATCGTTTTCACGATCGAGTCACTTTTGCATCACTAATGAAGATATTAGTTTTTTATAAATTTAATATTTGATACATAAACATTTGAAATTTCTCAAATTTGTTTCAACATGTTTATAATATTAATGCATAACAGAACACATAACGATATAGAATTGTCGTTACTTTAAACTACTATAATTTTGTAAAAAATATCATAATAATTTATTTGATCTTATTTTAAAGTATTATATGAAACTTTTATTTTACTAACTTCTCTGAGATCGTTCTTTTAAAAGATATTTTTACATTATATAACAAGTAAGAAAGTAAAAATACTTTTAATTAAGGATACTTTTAAAAGTTATAAAAATTCAAACACTTTTAGAAACATTGAGGATTTTTTTCATGACTGGATCAAATTTATTCTTTTTTCAATGAATTTTTTTCATCTTAAAATTGTTATATGATTCTTGCCACCAATTCTGAACTTTGAATATTAGGGTTAGACAATGGATTTTTCGAATTTTTATCGTTGTATACGCAAAATTCAATGTATTTTACCGAAAGTTTTCTATTATATAACTCAAAAACTAGGCGGAGCGAAAATTTTATATTTCGGAACCTTGTTGCTCCCCTGTAACTTTTCAAAATTTCATGTCGATCCGTTACCAAAGCCTTTTGGAGTTACATTCCAATTGATTGAACCTCCGTATAAAATAAGAATATTGTTCCAAATGGTCGAGATGTTTAAAGAGTATTATGAAGAATGTGAAAGGACTTCAAATATAAACTCTTAACTTTGGGGACTGAAAGTTCGAAAAATAATTTTGCAATACCTAGCGTGTAAAAGACGAAAATAGTACAAGAATTAAATAAAGACAACATGATGATATTCCCGATCGGAGATCTGTATTTTCGAATCGAATCGACACATACATATTTATGTATATGGATACATACATTTTTAATGAGTTATATATGATTTTGTTTAAATACTAGACGCTGTTATTCGCTTGTCCTTACTTTATATATAGTAGGTTTTATAAAATTGGAGGATCTATTTCTCCGGCAGATAAATTTTCGAAGCTAATGCTTTATATTTTTCATGTCTTCTCATGTCATTCTCGATTGATAGCTTCACCATTCAGAATCATAGTCAATAATTGTACAAAGTAATTGAAAATATAGTTAGTTGAGAATTA